AAAGTGTACTTCGTTCCAGTTACGTATTGCTGTGAGCAACTAATATGTCCGATTATATATTACACGTTTGTGTATAAATATTCAATATTCAATTTGTTGCTCTGATTTTAAAGATATCTGCAACACTGCAAACAGTGTGAAATTACATTCTGAAACGCTATATGCAGTGAAGATGCAACCAAATATACGCTACCAACCACTTGGAATGCTTATGATACATCTTGCAAGTGGCGCTGATGAGAGTCGCCGGAGGGATTTTATTAGTTAAATGCTTGCTGAAGTGCATCGCGACTTGATCGTCATCATTGCTATCATATAAATTAGGCTGATCAGATTTGAGAGCATTTCACAGCCGGATGCTGGTTCGTCGGAAGCAAACCTGAGAGCGCAGCACCACTTTACTGTCTAAGGCACTAAATTTTGATTTAAATCAATTATTTGCTCAAATGAATTTCATTCGATAAATCTATCAAGTACAGTAGATTAACTTTGGCACCTTTACTTTTAATTAAACGCAAACTAGTAATTACTAATCATATTAACATGTATTATGAATCATTTTTTCATGGAATTAACTAGCAGTTTATAGCCATTTGTCAAGAAAATTTGATTTGTTCTACAGCAATTGACATTCTCTGCAACATTGTACGTTAAATGAATATTAATATTTGTCTACGTCTCACGCCAGACAGGGCTTTTCCATATCCTGATTGATTTAATTTGCGTCACAAGAATCTTTTTCGGCTTGTGCGTGCTTCACATGCGTCAATCTTCTCAGAAAATAACGAAAAAATAAAGATTTGAGGTCTTGATTTGAACAAATTATATTTCGATTTTTGTTTATTTCCGTAAGCTACGATTTCTTTTATTTCTCCTAAAAGTATTTTATTGTTATTTGCGGCTACTTATTTGATTTTGGAAACTCAGATCTCGAAGTTACCTTTTGTACGATATCGTATTGTTCAGGTCGTCCGCCTTGAGTTGATTGCCTGCGCATTGGCAAAGCAGAGCATCGGATCTGATGACAAACCACCACTGGATCTCTGCTACCACCGCCGCCGGCATCCTGCGTGTCGTCGCCATCGCCACTGCATACCACTCCCGCCGTCCACGTGCGGCTTCACCTGTACGCTTTTACGCACGCCATATTTCATTTAACATTTACCGTTTTTATCACTCAATTAATTTTTTAATCATCAAATACTGGCAATACCTTGTAATTCACTTTCTTTCATTTGTTATCATGCAATCAACGTCTAATAATAGTTGAAGTCTTGTAATAAATCTAACATGTTTACACATTTCTAGTCAACTAAATATATATTTTACTTTTGTTATTTTACACTTTTATTGTTTTTTATGTCACTGCACTTTTTGTGCTCGTTAAAAACTTGTGCAAGTTTTTTATATTTAATGCTGAACGTGATTTTGTTATTATTGCAAGTTACAACCGTTTCACTTGTTGATCGTTAGCAGTTTTAGCTGCGTTTTAATTTAGGAGTTCGTGTTCGTTTTGCGTTCGTTACTCGTGGCCAACACGCCGCAAGCACCTGTGCTTCGACGCTGTCGAAATCCGAGGGCGATAATAAGTATTTTTTCGTTATCAGCAACGCGAGCGTCGCGAAACGTCACAGCGCACGTAACAAACACACCAAACCATTGTTCATTTATGTATATGTGATTATTTGTTTTCCAACATTTCCACAAGCAAATCTGACTAATCTCACAAATTAACCTGCATATTCATCGCAATATACAATGATATTTAGATAATTAAAATATTTTAATTAAAAAGTTTTGTTTTATTAAATTTAAATTTAATTGTGCGCAGTGTAAAATTTTTCAAACACGCACGTTTCGCGTCAACGCTACCAGACGACTGTGAGTTTGCGACGAATGAATACCACCCCCACGTCCGTTCCTACTTCCACTACCCTTACGCGGCGACTGCGTGGGTAGCCATCGCCGTTGTCGTCTTCATTGCTTTACGAAATTTCCGCGTCGTTTCCGTCCCCAAAAACGTATCTAGGCAACACCAACCGCATGACCAAAAATAGTACTTTGCAAATTACAGGATGCAAGTTGTCGCCTGCATGAACAGAATAAAAATTCGTTGTTTTAAATTTTAAGCGAGTTGATTATTATCGTATCCATGACAACCGCTTAACGATCAACGACTACCCACGTAACATACATATTTCCGGTTTAATACGCGCCGGTAAATGCACGAAATTGCGCTTGTCACGCGTCGTCAAACACTAATTAATTGCTGAATTCATGTTTGCACATATTTGGATTAATTAACATGTCAAAATGTTTAAATTATGATTAAAATTATTGATTTTAGCTATAAACTATAGAGAAACAAACTTTTGCAATCTTCATTTTAATTTATATTTTATTTTATTTAAAGTTTGGTTAACTTTGGTTCGAAACTTTGCTATTTTAAAAGTATTGCAGAATTTAAATTAATATATATCATGGATGTAGATAAATCGAATGTAAAACTAATAACGAAGTTTTAAGTAATCTTTCATATAAAATGCCAAACATATCAATCATATTTTTAATTTGTTGCCGACTTGAACTTTTTGTTAATTTAAAATGTTATTTTTAGCACTCACCGTAAAACCAATTCCAACTGTGGCCGAAAAAGTCCCCGATGAGAATTTCCCCGTGTCGAATTTGACGAGCAGGGAGGTTTTGCCCACACCACTATCGCCCAGCAATATTGTCTGTAAACAAATTGAAATAAAAAATAAACAAACACCCAAATAAATTAAAAATAAATGAATATCACATTCATTGTCAAAACTAAATTATAGGATTCATAACTCAAAAGAAGTGAAAATAATAAAATAATAGCGTTTACTTTAAATATAAGTTAATTTTGCAGGATGACAAAACATCAAAAGAAAAAAAAACACAAATGAGAGACGCCTAATTGAAAAATATTGCATTTTCTTTAAGCATTTCCAGTTTTATTCTTTGTTTCTGGCTCTTTAGTTCCACTTGTACGCATTTATCATTTCATTCCACTTTGTTTTATTTCAAGTCGCGTCAAGCACACTCACCGACTCAACGTCGGACGTTATTTTTATTTGGTTAATAATTTATTCACGGTCTAGGTGGAATTTCATTTCTAAGTTTCCAAGCGAAATGAATAAGATATAAAGAAGGATACGAATAAGTAGCAAAAAATAAAATAAAAAGTCTAATGTCACGTTAAATTATCAGAAAAGTCATAAATCGTTAAAATAAATATTATTCTACTAACCTTATGAACAACTTGTTCTGTATCATCAATGTAATCAGTCTGACACATGCGTAGCACCTCTTCAGGTGGTTTATAATCTCGATACCCAGTGGGTGAAGGATGTCGTTGTTGTGAATTTGCATCCACTGCCAAAGCACTTGATTCGAAAACGTCGTCATCCATATCGTCCATTATATTCACTTATTTTAGGTATTTTTGTTATTTCCTTTTCAAATTCGTCAATAAATGCTAAACATTTTCCTGAAACATAAGAAAAATACAGTTGAAACAAATATAAAGAAAGTATCGACTAAAATACTTACTAATTTAGTTTTATTTATTAAAATTTGTTCGTTTTGTCAAAGAAACAACTTGGGTCGGTGTCGTCGGTGCGCCATATGCCTACGGTACGCGATCGCAACATAACCTAGTTTCATGTTATCGACTCAATTAGGTGAATACGAAGCATTACAAAATAATCACCACTGGCACTGACTGCACTTGTACTTGTTAGTTATCTACAACATTTCAGCTTTTACACTGTGACACACAATGAAATGATATTTTCTTGGTACAGTTCGTTCAGTTTACGCAGTTTACATCAATGAAACACAACTAATCGATGGCGGCAGGCGCCGAAAGTGTGCCAGCGTGTGGTGGGAGCGTGCACGCGCATTCTTCAGGTGGCAGCCATGTTGGTTCGCCGCCCCCGTAGGTCAGGACGCAGGATCAATGCTGCTACACTAATACACACACATATATAAAGCTACGTCAAAAGTATTGCTAACAAAATTTTTTATTAATTAGTTACAACTTGTTTTCTTATAAATTTATTTATTTGTTTGTTATTGAGTTATTTTGCATTCGTTAAAGTTTAGAGGCTTGTTTCGCCATGGACCAATCGTAATCGCCTTAGCTCACGCTACTAAAACACGTGATAGTGGATCTAATACTGGAATTAATTAGTTATTCATTTATTCAGTCAACAAACAACTTTGTTGCTTTACCTAGTTGATATCTAAATGTTCAACAAAATATTTATAAAATATTTTTGTGTGAAAATTAATCTTTTCACTCAAGATTAAAATAAAAAGCATTTGCGTTGACATCTTAAGTGAAAATTTTACGATTGTCACGTTGTATTTCATTAAGCTTTTTTAAAAATGCCAAGTTAATGCGTAACAACAGATATAAAACGTTTTTAATGCATAATTTTAAGGTTAAATATATAAAAAATTAAAAATATTCCTAGGGTATTATGGGTTGCCTACATTTAACATGAAAAAACATATTTTAACTTCTAGTAAAGTTAAAGTCTCTTTACAAAAAATTGCTTTTAAAAGATAAGAATGCAAAACAGCGCAATATTCATTGGAAATGTCGCAATTAAAAGTTTAAACCCAATAAAAATAAATTACAAAATATTTTGCATTCTTGCAACGATGTCAATTAATTTTATTTTTGATTGTTATTAGCTGTACGCGTAGTGAGTAGTTATATGTTTTTCAGTGCGTTGCTATCTGCTGCGCTCCTAAAGAGTTTTATAACTTCTATAACTTTGTTATGTAAATTTTTCCGGATTACTCGATTACCTTGGCTTGTTGGTCATCGATAAGAAACCGTTTCAATATCCATGTAATATATTAATCATTGTGGAGATGGTGGATGTTTTTCTATGATTTCTGCGCTTTTGAATTGATAATTTGTTGATTTGGTGTAGAATGTGAAATTTGAATACGATTTGAATACTCGTTTAGCTCTTGTTTTTCACGCTCGCGATGGCTTCACTCTTGGTTGGTAACAGTTGCTAGCAATAATTATCGGAGACGTCATCGACGGTGCGTTCAAAAGTGTATAAAAAAACTGCAGGACCACATTCAACTTTAGTTTCAACGCGACTTTCAACGCAACAAGAAAACAACGGTTAATCAAGTATAATTTAAGTGCATTGTGGATTAATTGGAAGTAGATTTTCTAAATCCAGGGCAAAATGGTAATTGCTTGAATTTAATTTTAAATTTTATTTGAATACAAATTAATATTTTGTTTCGTTTTCAGACTTCGTACACTGATAAAGGACCCAAGGTTTGTAATTATTTATCAAATTTGCATTATTTTACTATTTTTATTATTTTTTAGCCAAAATATGGAAAATTTCTCTGTTTTGATCATTTAACATTTTATGTTGGTAATGCTAAACAGGTAACATACTTATTTTTTACATCATTACTTGGTAATTGCATTATTTTTTTAAATTTAGGCTGCGTCTTATTATATTACCCGAATGGGCTTTGAACCATTAGCGTACAAAGGTTTAGAAACAGGATCCCGGAAGTATGCAGCTCATGCCGTGAGACAAAACAAGGTACATTTTCAAATATCAGAATAAAAATCACTAAATTTAATATAACAGAACATAAAATCTGTACGTCACTAGCGACACCTTCAAATAACTGCATGAAACACGTAAAGTGAGCCCTTTGACCGAAGTCTGTAATCGATGTCTTTTAATCGATTATATTAGATTAGTTTGCCCTTTTCATACCAGAAGTCATCACACATACTACAACTGGGAATAAATAAATGGCTAATAAATTAGGTTAAAAAACAAATTTATTTTTTTTGCAAGATTGTGTTTGTGTTCATGTCTGCCTACGAACCAAACGAGGAAGAAATCGGTTATCACATGATGAAACATGGCGATGGTGTACACGATGTCTCCTTTGCTGTGGAAGACCTTGATAATATCATGAAACATGCTAAATCTAAAGGCGCAAAAGTTATTCGTGACATCTGGGAAGAATCTGATGCTAACGGAAAAGTTCGAATGGCTACAATTAAAACAGTATGTAAACAATATTTTACCAAAAGCAATTCATTTTAAAGTTTTTTTTTTTTAATTTTATAGTATGGAGATACTCTACATACATTCGTAGATCGTTCCAATTATACTGGACCCTTTTTACCCGGATATGTCCCTTCTCCAGTAGACCGTCTATCTAAACTTCTTCCACCCGCTAAACTCGACTTCATTGACCACGCCGTAGGCAACCAACCCGATTTACAGATGGAATCCGTTGCAAAGTGGTATGAGGAAGTGCTACAATTCCATCGTTTTTGGTCAGTAGACGACAGTCAAGTACATACTGAATTCTCGGCCCTGCGTTCGATTGTAATGACCAATTATGAAGAAACCGTTAAGATGCCTATCAATGAACCAGCACCGGGTAAGAAAAAGAGTCAGATTCAAGAATATGTTGAGTACTATGGCGGAGCTGGGGTGCAACACATCGCCCTGAACACTCAAGACATTATTACTGCTGTTAAAAACTTGCAAGCGCGTGGAATGGACTTTTTGCAAGTTCCAGATAGCTACTATGACTTGATTCGTGAACAGTTGAAACATAGTCCGGTAAAAATCGCTGAAGACTTGGATACTTTACAAAAGTTGAAGATTTTGATTGACTACGATGAAAATGGGTATTTGCTGCAGATCTTTACGAAAAACATGCAGGACAGACCTACTGTATTTTTGGAGGTTATACAACGCAGGAATCATAATGTAATTATATAATTCTATTAAATATTTACATAAAATAATGTTTTTATTTGTTATGTTAGGGATTTGGTGCTGGAAACTTCAAGGCACTCTTCACAGCTATCGAAATCGACCAAGCCAAGCGAGGTAATTTGTAAGCTATCAAAATGGCGACGCAATACTTAAACTAGTAACATTTATAACTCTAAAATATCAATAAAAACTGAATTAACTTAAAAAATGTTTTTAATACTCTTAATAAATATTCCTATCTTATTAAATCACAATAATTCTTAGTTTACTTAAATTAAATACTTTTTCAATATATTTAAGCATTCTCACTAGAACTTCTACTTCTTCGATTTTTTTGTTGTGCTTTATTGACCCACAATAAATTATCACCGCTAAAATAATCCTCGATCTGTGCTAAAGTCTTTCCTTTAGTTTCCGGTAACATAAGATAAAGAAAAACACTTGCTACCATTGAGGAAGTCCCAAAAACCCAAAAAACTCCTTGCATCCCAATAAATTTCCTTACAAATGGAAAACACTTAGCAACTCCAAACAAGAAAAAATTAAAGAACGTAAACGTCAAACCACCTGCAAAACCTCTAACTCTAAGCGGGTAGAGTTCCCCAATCATTACTCCCGGAAGAATCATGAAACCTACTGTATTCAGAGCAACGTAAATTAATACTCCAACGGAAACCGCATATGATGATAATATTGAGGTTAAGTTTTGATTTAAAAACACTGCGATTGCAATAGCAGATATTCCAGTTCCTATACCGGAAGTAAGCGCTAGGGTACGTCTACCCATCAATCCTAAGAAAATAGTACCTACGATAGTAAATGTAAATCGTACACCTGCCGTCAGCACAGCTGCTAGAAAACTATCAATATGATTTTGTGGTAAATTTGAGGTTATGTTTGCGGTTAAATTAACACTAGCAATAGTAGGTTCACTTGATTGACCTAAACTTGACAAGATATCCACCGCATAGAAAACAATCAGATAAGTGCCAGAAAGGACCTGCATCACGTTGAAGACGTTGATGATTATAAAAGGTTTGAGTGCCGAAGGTTGCAAGAGCAGTTTCCATGTGGAACATGTTGAAGAATCTGAAGAATCGGTAGATTCAACGCGAGATACCAACTCTTGTAGTTCTTGTTTAGCCTAAAGTAAAAATTGTATAAAATTTAAAAATATAGTTTAAATAACATTTGGTGTTTGTTACGTTCGTAAAATAAGGATACATTCGATATTAGGAGTGCATGCGAGAGCAGAGGCTATGAGAGCCATGAGTGTGAAGCGTGTGAAGAGAAGAAGAAACAGGTATAGCCATGTTGAAAAGGGAAAGAGAAGAAAAGTAAAGAGATACAGAGATAGCGAACGCGGTTAGATCGTGTGTGAGGTAAGATATACAAGATGTTTCATGAAAAAAATAATTAAAAATTATCAATTACTATAAATTACTAAATCTAAATTAAAAACAAATTTTATCGAAAATATCTCATTGAATGAAATTTTTTAAAATTATTTTTCTTTGAACACACTGTATATATCATGCATTAGAACCGAGTTAGACACGCATTGCACTCTCTATCCTCCATCCTCACATATTTCCTGCCTTGTTTAACATGTGACTCCTATATGTTTCTATTACACTCAAACACATACTAATATTGAATACTGTCCTCTCTATGCATGCAACTTTCATAGATTCTATTTCTCGTTTTTATTCCCGTGTATAAAACGTGTCTGGTGTTGCGTGCATGCATTTGCATTGCGTATATATGTAATATTCTAACATGTATGAAGCAGGAGCGCAGAGAAGACCGAAGGTGGTTCACACACGCGTTATCTACGCGCGTGCAGGTCGCAAAACGGGGAATCGATAACCCGCGACGAGGATGCGAGGCGTTTCCAGCGCTTTCGATGTGTTCGCTGCTCATGAGTAGAACATACATTTACACGAACACGAGTATATATGTCACGAGTATACACAAGTGAAAAGCAGTGAAAATATACGATAACAGGAGAGAAGCATGAAAAGAACAATGAAAATTGCATAAATAAGTGAATATCAATAATGAAATAATTAAAATGATTACGTTTTACTTTAATTATGAGTGAAAATTGTGTGGGATGTTGAAAACTATTAATTTTTATTTCATATTGTGTATTAAATATTAAACTAGTGATAGTAAGTGAATTTGTTGTTAAAATAATTTTAAACAATTTAATTCATAAATTAAATATGAGTTTAAATTGTGATTGTAGGTTTTAAGAAAATTGTGTTTGAAGTTTTTAAAGTTTGAATTTTTCTTGTGTAATGTTGGTTGCCTACGTTAAATCTCAGAACCTACAAAAAATGTTTTATTTTTTTTGATTTCACTTGTTTTAATTGTTTTACTTTAATTGTTAGCTCCTTATTATTCCTACAATATTAGCATTTCATTCGACGAATTCGACGGAAAATGAATAAAAGCTTCGTTTATGCGTCGAACGACGAATCGATTCGACGTCAGCGCAACTTGCGTCGGAAACAAAGGAAATTTAAATGAGATTGAAGCAATTCAAGAATTTCGAGAGATTCAAGTAAAGGAAATTGAGCAAATGCCAATTAAACGTAAGTTTGCAAACATTCGTAAGCAATTCTCATTCCGCGCATTCCTATTCCAATTATAACTCAATTATTTCATTATCCCATTATACCAATTATTGTATTTTTCATTTTTGTTAATAATAATTGTTGTAATTTTATCGTAAAATGAATTAAATTACTTTCAAAAACTTCTCATAACTATAATTCATACAATTTAATAATGTGTGCTTATCAATGTTTCATAATATTAATTTTATATGACTTTATATTTCAATTTATAATATTGAAATATGAAATTCCCATTTGGCAACTCATAAACTCACATCATGAATGATATTGCGCGGTTATTTCTAGTGAATACCGAAACTCCGGCCGTAATTTGTTACAACGTGTATTATTTATATTATTTATATTATTTATGGTGTGCCAGCGTGGAAATATATAAATAAATTGTATAAAATAATACCAGGATAGCAGGATGTTGCGAGGATGAAACGCGAACGAAAACGCGAACGTGAACCGAAAACACACCAACACGCAGATAAGAGTACAAAACTCGTTCACGAGCTCACATTCCCACCCACAGTCGAAAATTGTAATTTATATAAATATGAATATGAAAATAAATAGTATGTCGCATGCAAATACTGTATAATATAAGCGACTAATTATTTTGAGGATTTCAAGTGTAATATGATCGAATTTGCAACAAAAAATAACTTAACATGATTTTATCGGTTTTTGTTGCGATAGGCAACTTTATGAGCATCATTATAAAATGAATATCATGAATATCATCGTATTAAAATGCCAACTAAGCGTTTTTCTTTCTTATCCCCCTTCGAAGACTTTTATTTTGCATAAATTTTGCATGCAAATCAGTTTCGCCGCGACCTCAAGACACCGCAGACGATAAATCATAAATCAAGCGAATGATGTGAACGCAAATCAAATGCATGCGTAGTTAAATTGTGTTTTGTCAGCGAAAAATTAATTTTAAATTAACTTACTTGGATTACATCTCCTCCTCTCAGCCAAATCAATGCTTCTTTTGCGTCTTGATCACGTTGTTGTTTTACTAGCCAGACTGGACTCTCAGGTAGAAAGAAGAAAACTGTTGCGGCAAATAGTGGCAGTAATGTGCTCAAACCTAATAAGAATTATAAATATGTGAGTAGTGATTTTAAGGTTATATCTATAAGTATACCTGCAACAGTTCTCCAATCCAGAAAAGTCCCCATGGCGTACACTAAAAGTATTCCAAAAGAATAACTTGCAAATGGAATACTACTGAAGATTCCACGTACATGAGGTTCAGATGTTTCACCAATCAGTACCTTTTAATACAATAGAAATAACCGGTAAATTTGTGTATTTAACCTCAAAGTTTACACAGCGCTGTGAAGCGGTGAATATTATATTTTTAATTAATATGCCTTACTTGACCTGGAGCAGCACACAAACCCGCAGACATTCCAGCAATTAATCTGCCGATGAGAATCAGAGCGTGATTATGAGCGAAACCAATCAAAAGCCAGCCGATGACCAAAGGTAATGCAGAAATCTGCAGTGCCGACTTGCGCCCGCATCTCTCCATCAACACACCGCTCAGAAGTGCACCTAAGGGAGTTGCAGCCGAATGTACACTAGCTAAACATAGAAAATTTTAAAACAAAACAAAAACAACTTAATTATTCAGTATTTAGAATTAATAGTAGGCAAATTAAATCGATATATTGCCTATTATTGAGGATTAATAGTATTAATGGTATTGAATGTGCTTTAAGGTTTGATACGTTTGGCTTAAAGATCTTTGAATTGAGATTAATCTCCTTCATTTAAATGTGTGCAGTGCTGAATCAAATTGTCATGAAAGTCAATGACCCGTCCGGTAATACTAAACCATTTAATTTATTGCTTTCAATCTGCCCATTCCCAATCCAAATATAAATGTAGACAACTAAAGTAACATTTAAATAAAAATTGCACAATCAAATAATATAAGAAATCTATCAATATTGACTATAGTGTAGATAAAATAAAACAATAAATTTTATCTAAACATATAACAACCGTGTTGCCGCAACATTTAGGTCAATGAGAAGGACATTCAAACAAGACAAATATCATATTGTTTCTGTGAAACAATAAAAAATAATAATTTGCCAATATTTAATATAAACATTTTAAAGGTCTTTTGCTATTTATATTAAATTATAAATATTTACGAATGCAAATATACGAGTATATCAAAAACATTGAAATGTAAAAGAATAATTGTGATGAAAACTTACCAATCCAAGAACCAATCTCGTCGTCAATTAGCAAAGTGTCGTTTGAGTTCTTGAGTTGCGGAAGCAAGATGGCGGAATATCCGATTGGCATTCCGCAACTTGCCGAACTCAACATGACAGCCATTGTTACTAAACACTAAACAAATCACAAAATAATCATTTAATTATTAATTATTTTATTTATTTAAGACTTACTTGTGCAAATATACTTCTTGGAGAAATACTTTCTTGGGAACTACTTTGTGAATCGTTTAATAATTTCGTGTGTGTTATATCATGACTTAAACGACAAACAAAGAAACAAAATAAATAAATTTCCGCTTTATAATATAAATAAAAAATAAAATAAAATTTTAAATTAACTCACTTTGATTTTGACAGTTTTGCATGCGACAGAGACATTTTTCTTTATAATTGTTTATTGTTTAAAACTTCGATACTAGTGGGTGTTTATTTTTATATTATATATATAGTTTTGATTAAAGTTTTTAACTTAAATAGTTTTTAGTGTTAACAAGTTGATAAGCGTGGTGGAAGCACGACTGAAAACTTTCGCGTTGTCGCAACGTGTTTTGTTGACGATTGTTGCCCCGCTACCGAAGCGAACCGGCGTTGTTTGCAATGTTTACGTCTTCAATCAGACATTAATTTTCATTGTCAGCATGTTACCAACTTGCAATCTTCAACTCACACACGCAAATACTTTCTACACACAAAGTAACATCAAACGGATTCGATTAATTTTTACTACCTGATATAAAACAACCTTACTCTCAAGTACCTTTCTTCATTAGACCTTTGTTAATAGTTTTGTAATCATTAATCATAATGTTATTATAACTAAGATAACAATTACAATCTTTACAATCATTACATTACTTATCTATCTTCAAAGGCGGCTGATCAAGTGAAAATAATTGAAAAGAATAACAAATTCAAAGTAAAAAAGATATTTAGATTGATGGATTTTTAATAAATATAGAACCATAGCGCAATCTAGTTCTGATTTTGAAAACTACAAATTTAAGACTATTTCCTCGTCTCACGACAAGATAAACTTAATAATTCTTATTATTATAAAGGAAGCATTTCCTAGGAATGACTACGTGATTATACATCACGTTCTGCCTGCATATAAATTACTTGACATTGCGAGACATTGCAGGACAATGAAATGATAAGATGACAAAATTGTTCGCTGCACTTCAGCAATTTATCATATTGCATCGGCTTACGTGCATTTCCTCAGTGGTACCTTTGTTCCTGGAAGTTAAACTAAATTTATACACTGAGTGTAATCAAAATAATAATTAATATATAAAAAATACAATGGTTGTAATTAATATATATTAATACTTAATATTAGTTATAATACTTAGTGATAATTTTGTGTGGAATTCGAGAAAATTCTATAAAATCTGTCGATATTTGTGGATCACAAATCAGGAAGCTGGAAGAGGAGAACGAGGCGAAGCTCTGACACATTGGCAGACGCCGGTAAACGTTGGTGACGCTCGCGCGGATTAGTTGCAATCAAATGGTCAAGATCGGGCGTACTTGAATATCCAGGTCAACGCGGTACTTCCGGCAAATCAACGAGTATTGTGACAACGGCGACAACGACGGCGCAACCGTGACCTCCACGAATCAAAAAAAAAATCCACCAATTATTTAGATACTTCCCACGCAGTCATAAAAAATGAACAAAAACTTGAACTTATAGAAAAAGAAAGTGTCTCAACGTAAAACAAAATAAATTTATAAATAATAGATACTTAAATTTATTAGTCATTAAAAAATATTAATATCTTATCTAAAGGTTATAGGTTATAGGTTAATATTAGTACTTTAATTTTATGGCTCTAATTAATTTTTAATAACGACTATTAAATTTTTACCGTCAAAAAGTGAGCTACGTGCATCTTGGCATCATTATTTAATTCGCCAAATTTTATTTCCAGAACTACTTGACAAGTCTACGTCGTAAGTCGTAAATCGTTGAATGCATTAAGTTTTCAGCTCGTCTCAATTAATCGTGTGCTATTTTTTGTTTTATTTACAGCATCAAATAGGACACATTTGCGAATGGGGTCAATTGAAATTGGCCAAAATTGCATAATAAAAAAATATAAAATTACAAACACACCAACTTCATTCATGATGATTTGCATTTTATTCAAACATAACTTATATATTTTTACAATTTTAATTCTAAATTAATAATTACTTGGTTTGAACTTGTCGGTACTCCCTGTATAGGTTGTCATTAAGAGAAATTCGAACAAAGAGGAGTAATCCCACTCCTGCAGCGAGTGTTAAAAAGCTGAGGCAATTAATCACGATTGGAACTTTTTGCAACACGACCAGCAAGTCTAAATACCCGCCGCGTGTCACCACGTGCTGTTTCATGGAGAATACAGGCATGAAAACTCGTGGAACATCCGAAAACAAGCTAAAAATAATTAGATTTTATGATTAAAGTGAAAATTATGTTTTAAAATCTTTACCCTAAGCCTTTAACAGGCTGCAGAAGCATGTTTAGTTGAATATTTAAAGAACCATCTAATAATAAACCAGTTGTCTATAAATAAAAACATTAATAACAACAAATTCTATTAAAAAATTGTTTAATAAGTATACTTGTTCAACTGCAATGTATGGCATTAATGAACTATTATCTCGATAAACGATATCGACGCCATTTTGATACACAGGATCGGCAAGTAAAAAATGTGGCAAAGACATGAAAATCGGTGCATGAGCAAAAGTCGCTGAGCTGTTTAGCATTCCCACTGGTACACATTCCCCGAAACAAAAACATTCGTTTGATTTGTCATATGTTCCTAAAATTAAGATTAAAATATTTTTATATTGAAAAGAATACAAGTGTGGCCATCTATGAATTTGTTTTGTTACCATTGTCAAATATGTAGTCCTTGGGTGCGTATACACTGCCAACAACTCCATTAAACATTCTTTCTTCTAGAAAATAATTATTTGTAAAGACATTTAAGTCGTGTACGTAGACCACCATTGGTTGAGTTTGGTCATGGCCAGGATCTGCGAACTCTCCTAATTTACCATGGACTCGACCACATGTACCCGGAAAATACGGTGTTGTTGTTGAATTTTTTATAGTGTGAATATTACCGTAAAATTCATCAACATTTACGTGCACGTTGTAAGGTCCAAAGTATAAATCTGTATAATTTCTCTGAAAAAAATATTAAATAATGAAAACTTTTCAATTTGCTGCTCTACTATTATATAAAAATGAATAGCAAAATATGTTGGTATGCGCATAACTCAATAACGCCTAGACCAATTTGGCCAATTCCTTTTTTTAAATGTTCATTAAAGTCCAAGAATGGTTTTACGGCGAGAAAAATCGAATAATTGCCGGAAAAACCCTAAACACATCCCTTTTCTATAAAACTTGACAATGAGATTCAATCATGGTTATAATTAAATAGTTGAATCCGAGATAGTGCGCTGATGTGCATCATTAGTAGTAATTCTTTATATAATTAAATTATTTAAAATAATATTGCGAATCTTATTGATAGAATAGACACATACTATGTCTAGAACAAGTGAATAAAAACGAATTACATTTTTATTAAACACTACCAGGACGAAGTCGCGGGCAAAAGCTAGTATCTTAATAAAAACAGGTTTTAAAAATGTTTACCTTATAGAAATATCCAAATTTATCTTTCAACTCCATTCCCAGTCCTTGTGTAGCAAAATTAGGAATTTTTTGTACAAAATCCAACAATGGATCATCATATCCTTCAAATAAAAGTTCCTGTACAGTTTTCTTCACAAACAATTCACTTTTCGTTGCTCTTAAAGCTAAACTAGCCCCAAATTTCAGAAACGCCGACCATTGACGTGCTTGATATGCAAGTGCCTAAAAACTTTCAAAATGTAGTTATCAACTTTCCAGAATTAATTCAACACTTAGCTTACATTAGCAATTGGATTCAAAGTAATAATAACATCATCCAAACTTCTATCCGCCATGTTGGGAATGTGCACAAAACGTTTAGTAAACGCATATGTAACGCTCGAGTTTTCGTGATGAATGCGTATATCTGTACGGTTGATGTACAATTCAAAACGGTAGGGTCCTATTTCCTCAAAACGTGGTTTAATATTAGGATCACGCACCCGGTCGCTGTTGGTCCAGTTAAAGAAGTAAAATTCCACCTCGTAGGGATATTCATTGGCGCGCCACATTCGAAAATGATATGAACCCTCGACAAATTCCAATTGTGATCGTATTATTAAATTTATTAAGGATTCAGTGCCAAATTTAATTAGATACGATAGGAATATTAATAACACTCCAAAAAATAATTTGTTTTTTGGTTTTATATTGTTGAAAAATCCTTTAAAAGCAATTTAAATAATATTAATAATAATAATCCTTAAATATCATTAATTTATTCTTCTAATTAATAAAATATCAAATAATATAAGCAAACTCACCTCTTTTGGTCATTTTATCAAAATAATCACAAATGATTTTCCTATTGCACCTTAGAACAAATCTAATCAGGCTTAGAAGTAAAACTGAAATTCATTTGCGATTTTGAAACGCATAGCGCACACACGATCGCCCGTCAATGTTTATTGAAAGGCGGAGTGTTCTCAAAGAGTGCACGCATAATTTAAACATTAAATGTTTATACACCAGGTTAAATCTATAGCAGTAAACAATTTATACATCACTGTTCAATAAATTCAAGACACTGTATATTATCAGGCGTGTTATAGCAGGTAGTAAATCAATGTATACTTTGTTTGAAACGTAGGATTGACAAATAGTAATAATTAGAAGTAAAAATTTGCCAGTAAATTAACACCGATGACTTGCAAGTTGGCAAAGAAACGCGCAAGAAGTTGAAGTTTAATTGCGTTGTCGCAAATCTGATGGCCGTCGTTTAGTTGTGCAATTGTGGCCGATACTCTCGTGGAGTTCATGTGGCGTTGCACTCATTCAAGGATAATTACATTTTATCACAATTTCAATACAAATCCATACCAATAATTGCATTTAATCGTTAAAAATCAATTAAAATATTAATTGTTTCTGTTTAATTTTAATATTGTTTGCATTTTTGTTTGTTTTGGTTGAAATTTATGGAAAGTGAAATGTTTAGCGTCCGATCGTCCTAGATTAGTTATAATTAATGCAATTAATGCGCAGGTTATGTGATTCGGAGTCGTTAATTACACGTTAATTTTATATTACGTCGTCGTCGCATAATGTGATAAGTAATAAAAACAAAGACAAGAAGAAGAAAAAACAACCGAAGAGGTGATTGCAAGGCTGTTGACTATTCATTTCAAAATTGCACTGAGTGCATGCATACTCATGCACTCAACTTTAACTATTTTGCTAAACCACAACTTATCAACATAAATTCAAACATAATTATTGTATACTCATTAATATGTGCATAAATTAACTAAAGCTAGGTTGAAAAATTCATTTTATTATAGATAATTTAATCTAATATACAAAATATGTAATATATAAATACAGTAAAGTCCGGTTATAATGACATCGAAGGAATTGACAAACACGTCATAATAAGCGGACGTCATACAAAGCGTTTTGTGAAATGAAAACCCTTTTTATGTAAATATGTACATATACATACAATATCCGACTTTTTATACAGAATTTTATATGAAAACCAAACTTGGTAGTGTAGGTACGTCATAATAACCGGTTGGTCAATATAAGCGGAGTCATAATAAACGGATTCTACTGTACAAATACACATCTATATTTTAATATAGTAAGAAAGAAATATAGTAGAAAGAAAGAAATTTATTAAAATATAGTAAGAAATGAATCTCTATTTTGGATTTTACGCGTGTGATAGAAAAGTAAACAAGAGTGTGGCGTACTAAATTGCAGCGCAGCGCGTGAGTTCAAACGGACATGCTAGCTCACTCACACAAACAAAAGATAGTGATAAGAAGAACATCGCGAAACATGTTTCAACATGTTGCTGCGTTTACTCTGCTTCGATTTTAATGCGAGTAAGTGCATCCTAGCGACATCTATGCGCTGAATAGAATGTTATATTTCAGTATGTTGTGCGCATACGTTTGAGCTCATATCACATGGGCAAGGACATGAACGGAGCACGACCGTATAGCATTTATTGGACTTATATGCATTTCTATTAGAAAATAATAATAAAAATCAGCGTAGTTGACAATACAATATTTAGTTATAACTTCAATATACTAATAAATTAAATTTATGTTTTAGAATTGTTTTTTTTATAAATTAGGCATTAGGTGGTATTTAACGAATAATTTATAAGCTAAAAGTTTTCATTTGAAGAAAAAAATTTAATTTAAAATAATGTACGTAAATAACTAGATCTGCTTCGTGCCGAATATTGCCGATTATCACAATCACACTAAACAAAACAAAACAATTCTCACAATTTATGATTGAATGCATTGTTATTAAAAATAAATCAAAATAAATTTAGTGTCACGTAAATAAATTAACCTGTTGTACGTACGATCACGAATATCGCCGTTTATCGAGATGCACACTGATACTATACAACAACACAACGCACAGGTATCAAGAAAACAAGTGCCGAGAACGCGCCTCGCATTTATTGCACAAAAGTGCATCCTTCCGCCATCTATACATTTTTTAAAGAATTATATTTATCTTCGATGTCATAGTGTGTGCGTAAACTCAAACGGCCATGAGTATCACCATTTGCACCAACTTGCACTACACGCAAATACAAATAATACAACAGAAATTAACTAATCAAAGAAAAACATACAAATATTTAGTTTTATTTGTATAGATTTTAATCTCTGTGTAATAAAACTATATACAAAATATTTACATTGGTTTTAATTTAAAATATGTATTGTCATGTTAAGTAATATAATTGTTCTTAGATCATGGATGGATTTTTGTTCATGCATAAAGACCTTAATTAATTTATTTTTTGGCATTTCCATTGCTAAATTTCCTCACCCCCTCCCTAATAAACATTATTACTACGCATGAATGTGCACTTCTTTTGTGGTAAGTGGTACTTCAACTGCTTGTGCAGCAGCAACTTTATATTCATTACGCTCACGGTTCTTCGACGATGGCCATATACAATTTGTTATTAGGACAAGAATCATCATCGATACACCCAGCACGACGAAAACATATGATACATGTTCGACAATTTCAGGTAGATTTTGTATTAAATAGACGCTGGTCGCTAATTCATCACTCATTGTCACTACTTGATCGAAGAAGAATATAGGTACCATTATTTTAGGAACGTTAGAAAATAATCTGTAAATAAATAAATATTTAATCAAATTTATTTTGTATTGTTTGTTTTATTGTACGTACGAGTATCCTTTGATTGGTTGTAGTAAAAGATTGAGTTGCATACGAACTCCTACTTCAATTGCGATTGCAGATTTCTAAAATTAAAAAAAATGATTAATAATTTTTTGCTTAGATTGATAAGAAAGTTAGTAATTTAAAAACAATACTCACGGGTTCTAGAGTGATGTAAAAGTCGTGATCTTTTTTGTTTGGTGTAAGTCCATCAATTAAATTTGTATAGTAAGGATCTGCGTTGTAAAAATGTGGCAAAGAGAGAAATATTGGGGCTCCTTGACGACAGGAAGAGATGTTCAAGACTCCACTGGGTAAACACTCACCTTGGCAGTAACATTGATTTTTTGGATAAATTGTACCTTAAAATTTCAAGAATTACAAAAAGCCAATCAAAAAAGAAATGAAAAACTTACCATTTTCAAATAAAGTTTGTGCTGAATATTTATACCCCTCACATCCTTAATAAACTCATCTTTTCATAATCAAATTCAGCGAATGTACACAATTCATTAGAGTACAAAGTAATAGAATCTCTTGTCCTATCCAAAGGATAAAACTCTCCAGCTGATCCACGTATTTTATTGCATTCGCCTTCAAAGAAATCAGTTTCGTTGCGATGATTCCACGAAACCATCCTGCCAAAAGTATGATCCTGTTTAGTAGACATACTAAACTCTCCACTCAAGTTTCTAGTATTATTTCGCTGAAAGAAAACAAATAAAATATTAAATAAAGAAAAAATTGTATTCAAGTAAAATAAGTTGCCTAACCTTGTAAAACCAACCGAAATTATGATCTTCAATTTGTGCATCATCAGGTAAAAACGGCGATACCTGCTTGAGAACACCCAGTAAAGGATCGTAATATCCTTTAAAAAGTAACTCGTCTATTGTTTTCGTTACATACACCGAGGAGGACATCGACATTGTGAAATCCATGGACCATTTTTTAAACCCTTCATCAAAACGTGTTTTGTAAGCTGCCGACTAAAATAAAATCATTAAATAAATAAATAACTAATATTTAAAATAAAAAAAAAATAATAAAAAAAAAAACTTACAGTTGCTACAGTATTTAACGTATTTATCACATCAGTAAGTTGACAAGGACTCTCTTCATCCATAAAATAATATCTCTTCAAATATTTATACGAAACTGTATCATTTTCATGAAAAACAATATCGTACTTCTCCTTCACCTCGAGGAATCTATACGGCCCGACTTGTTCAAAGTGTGGTTTAACACTTTCATTATACACCTCATGTGCATTCGTCCAGTTAAACATATACATATCCAAAATAAGCGGTGGATCATTAGTGCGCCACGCTTCATAAGCTTTTGATCCATCTTCCACTTTCAGCGCATTCATTACAATCAAGTCATACATGCCATTAAACTGAAGTAGAAATAATAACCCAATGAATGTGAACACCGTCCCCAATGTGAAGACGAACCCCCGGCAGTACCGCCCTATTATTCTAGTGCGTTTCATTTTTCTACAAACAAAAAAACCAGAGATGATTATTGTTTATGTTGACCATTGACCATACTAAATATAGTAACAATTCAATGATTTCAAAACAAAGACCAAACTGCTATCAGCTGTCTCGCCTTGAAATGAAATGTTGAAACACGCATTAATCTACAGAGTAATCAATTTAATTAATGCTATATTAACAAAAAATTGTTTATATTAAAAAAATTAATGTCTAAACAATTTCTTAAGTCAATATGACTTAATTTAAGAAATATTTTAACAAAGAAACAAAGAATTCACTTTTAGTGTGTGTTATTGGTGATAACAACTGACTTAAGTCTAGTTTACTTACTTGCGATATAAATTTGAACTACCTAAAACCGATTACTGCGTTTATTAACTCATTAACACTAATAAAATGTTTGCACGTGTTAAATATCATCCGATTTTATTTTATTTATTGTTTAATGTAAACAATCGATTTATTTTAGCTTAAGTCACGTTGTGGTTGAATTTAATTACTTTGTTAAGGTTGATTGAGTAGTGGCTGCGACATTTTCCGTGCGCAGACTAAAACCGCCATCCGCTCGGTCGCTCGCTGGCGCTTATCAGCGAAGGAGTCCTCTTATCGCGCTGACCTCTTGTCACGAATTTTATTATTTCATGAATTCATGCTGCGCCGTTTACGCTTGTCGAACTACTGAATGTGAACTTGTGAACTAATCGAAAAGCGTGCAACACTCACACACACACATGCTGTGGATATGAGAGTATTATCAGACGGTTTTAGATTCGGTAATTGAGCGTCGGCCATCTTGTTATAGGTTAAAGGCACATGCTTTACGCATTGGGCATGGAAATATAAGTACTTCACTGTGCGCAGTGTTTACTTACTGATTAAACTATTTATATTAGTGATATTATCGTGAGTTTGAATAATTTTTACTTTTAATCGATGTTTACTTTAGTATTAAGCAGATTTTACGATATTTTAATGAAATTCTGATTGCTGTGCTGCAGCAGTGGCCATTTTAAGTGTCAATATGCGTTGCTATGACGATTAATTGACGCAACGAGACAATTTATTATCGATGTGTTTTGGAAAGTGCTGAAGATGTGGAAAATACGCGTGTTGAGCTATAAACATTCATATTGATAAGAATAGTTTAATAAATATTGTATTTTGCGTCAGCTAGGCAACTAGACTCGCACTTAATGATTTTTTTAAAAATTAAATTAACAACTACATGACACACCTGTCTAAATATTAGTTTTGCACTATCACATTTAAGTTCAGTTAAGTATTAATAATGTTGACTGTGGAATGATTCAAGTACTGGCAGTAAAATCACCTGATTCAATTTAGTATGTCTCCAAAAAATTAATTAAAATGGCGGTTTAAGTAGTGACTTACTTATGTTTAGTATTTTATAAGTGTTTTAATTTGTTATTTTTAATTTTACGGCTCTTATACAGAAGTTAATTACGCATTTACGAGGGTCATGGAATAATTACATATTTGTTTATAAAATTGGTACTAATATTAGTAATATTACACTTTTTAATAAGTAATATTAAGTAATATTAACTAATATTAAGTTACCTGTTTAAATTGTTAGCAAATCATACATTATTTCATGTAATTTTGACGTTCAAGTATAAATTTTAATTGAAAAGTAAGAAAACTTTAATTGTGTATGTAAATAATAATTTAATTTAATTATTTAATTATCTTTTGACCCAATTTTGAGAAAAAGTAGAAAATAATAAGAAAAACACAATAAAACAAATTTTAAAATTAGAAATCTCTCTTAATATACTTTTATTACTTCCACCTTTATAGCGACCCTTTTCCACGGTTTTAAGACACAAAAAGTAGTACTTTTAACTCGTATGGCCAGGCCGTGACTAAAGTACTGAATATAGTAATAAAGTAACGTAGAAATTGACTAGAAGTAGAAGAAATAGCTTAAAAATCACGTGGCTAAACTTAATAGTTAATTTATAATATAAAAATGAATCGCAAAGTCTGTTGGTAAGCGCATAACTCAACAACGCCTATATCAATTTGGCCAATTCTATTTTTAAAATGTTCGTTAAAGTCCAAAGATGGTTTATACGGCGAGAAAAATTCGAATAATTGCCGGGAAAATCCCAAAGACAGTCTTTTTCTATAGGATAACAATTGGCATTGAAATTCAATCATAGATATAGTTAAATAGTTGAATCCGAGATGGCGCGCTGAAGTGCATTATTAGCTATTCTTTATATAATTAATTTCTTTAAAATAAAATTACGAATCTTATTGATAGAATTGACACATACAATGTCTAGAACAAGAGAGTAAAAACGAATTACATTTTTATTAAACACTACCGGAACGAAGTCGCGGGCAAAAGCTAATATATCATAAAAACATGTTTAGAGATTTAAATAAATTCTATTTTTCGTGAATAATTTAAGCAAGTTTAAAAACAAAGAGTTTTTATTAATAACAAAAGTATTCAAACAATAATAATATTAATTAGAATTAATCTAAGTTTTCTCAAATAACAAGAAAATTAAAATTCCAACAAAAATCTTTGCTGTACTGTACTTAGCAACTTAATAAATACGTATATTACTTAAGTTAAGCCACTAAGTAGAAACTAACCATAATCACAAAACCGCTTATCAATTAAGTAATAGAAAACAAATAGACCAACATTTAACATTTATCTCACTTGGAACGAGTACTTTACATGCTAATTATCAAAAATATCACCAATTTCATATAAAAGGCACGTGGTAAATATCAGTACATGAATTTCCATCAGAAATCCAATCTGGACGGTTGGTATATCAAGTAATGAGTATAATATTGTATTGTATTGTAATTGCACTGTTTGCATTGTTATTGTTAATTCGATTTGATTTACGCAGTTAACGATTCAATTCGTCGCGACATCTCTCTGTTTCATTCACTCTTCTTTCATTCACACCACACCATCCAATCGTTCAATTGAGGCAAACTCATCTAATTACCTAATTATTTCCTTCGAAATGCACACCAACACGTACGCTTCGTCCATCATTATAAGTTAGGTTAGAGTTGGCAACACTGTCGTATCACAGTAGTTTTTCTTTTCTTGTTTACAAAACAAAAACACAACACTGTCATGATTGTGTCTTAACTTAAGTTACTCTCATGGCGCGGACATGTTGACTCGCGGACAACGTGCGCACTACTCAAGCAACAACTATACTTAAGCAAATACTCATCGCATTGTTAAAACAATTTTCGTATAACCAGAGTTAAGGCGAGGAGTGGCGAGGACGGTTTTGTGGTTTAAAATGCACGCAACATTATTGTTCGGATTATCACTGCGCATGCGCATCAACTGCATACGTCGCCTACGAGCTGCACGTCCGTTTCGTAAACGACGCGGAGTTTTTCTTTCTCATTCAACGGCACCAGCTCCTTGATTGTTAAAGCATGTAAATGATGATTTCTTTTCGTGTGTTGATTGCCTTGCTTTGAGACAAATTGTCCGGATTTGATCATCGTTGAGTTGATATGTTTGTAGATGACTGTTGAGCAGAGGAAGAAACCGATGGACATCAGTAACGCGCCGATGATTTGAATCACCAACGGCATGTAAAGCAGGATTTTGATTAAAACCAGGAGAAAGTCAGGGATTTGAACGACTTCTTCAAACCACAACACTGGGAAGATTAGTTTTGGCACATTTTGAAATAATCTGTAAAAAATTATTTATTTATTATTTAAATAAATAAATGTTAGTAGAGTTTTAACTTACGTTAAGTATTTTGCTGGTTCAAGTAACAAATTGAGTTGTAACCTTGCAGCAACACGCAAAGTTATTCCAGTAAGCTGTAAATAAATATTTTTTACACATTTAACATATGCAACCCAAACTACAGTTTAAATACATACCGGTTCAAGTGTAATGTAAAACTCGTGTTTGTCTCGAACAGGTTTAAGTCCCTCGACTGCACTCAGATAATAATCATCAGCGCCGTGGAAGTTTGGTAAAGAGACAAAACCAGGCGCGCCATATTTGCAACTACTGATGTTTACAGCTCCTGAAGGGAAACATTCCTCTGGACAGAAACATTTATTTTCTGGGTAGAGTGTACCGTTATCCAGAAAACGTTTTCCTGCTGTGTATTTTCTTCCTATAACTCCATCAACAGATTCTTCTTCTTCAAAATCCAACGGCATGTTACGGCACATGTCAGGCACAAAAATGGAAATGGTGTCTTTATTTGGATAAGGTCGATGCAGTTCACCTGCAGAAGCACCAGAAACATGGCCACAACTGCCCTGATAATGATTGGTACGGTTTGCAAAGTTCCATGATTCCAAAACACCGAAATTGTCGTAGGATGTGCCCATGTTGAAGTCTCCTTCAAATGAAGTTTCATTTCTCTGTAACAAAACAAGTTAATATGATTTTTAGTAATGTTGCAGATGGTAGATTGCTTTTAAAGTACTTACTCCAAAAAACCAAGCAAATTTATCATCCATTGGTAGTTTGGGAATGAACGGCAAAGGCATTTTAGCTGACAGCGCCACCATGGGATCATAATAACCTTCAAACAAATACTGTCCGAAGGGTTTTGTGATAGCTAATTCTTGGTGCATTTGAGTGAAGGCCACTTGCATTCCTTTGCGCATCCAAAATCCCCATTTCTTCATTTTTGCAGTGTATGCCGCACTCTGAATAAAAAATATTTTTGGTTAAGTTAGGTTCAATTACATCTATAATATAAAAATGAATCAAAAAATGTGTTGGTAAGCGCATAACTCAACAACGCCTAGACCAATTTGGCTAATTCTTTTTTTTAAACGTTCGTTAAAGTCCAAGGATGGTTTTTATGGTGAGAAAATTCTAATAATTGCCGGGAAAACCCTAAAGACAGCCCTTTTCTATAGGATAAAAGTTGGCATTGAGATTCAATCATAGTTATAATTAAATAGTTGAATCCGAGATGGCGCGCTGAAGTGCATTATTAGCAATTCTTTATATAATTAATTTCTTTAAAATAAAATTTCGAATCTTATTGATAGAATTGACACATACTATGTCTTGAACAAGAGAGTAAAAACGAATTACATTTTTATTAAACACTACCGGGACGAAGTCGCTGACAAAAACTAGTAATATGATAAATTCCGTAAACTTACGACTAAAACAGGATTCAACGAAGTAATCGGCAGGCTCAAATCAGCCACACTTTTCTCTCTGACAAAATGATACGAGTGATACTGCCTGAATGAGACAGTATTATTAGCGTTCCACGTGACATTGCCTTTCGTTTTGATCTCTCTGAATGAGAACGGCCCAATCTGTTGGAATCTGGGTTTAACACCCGGCTTGTAAATGTCTTCCGGATTGGTCCAATTCAAAGCATAAATCTCTAAATACAACGGCATCGGATTAACCAGCCAAAGTTTCTCCATGTACGTGTTTTCTTTCAGCGCGATTCCCAGTCGCAACATTGAATTGAAGATCCAGGACCATCCGATGAGGAATCCAGCGCCGGTCGATACCAGCACACAGGATATCAGCAGTTTGTTACTATTAGTACACACATCCAAGCGGAAATTCACCTGCAATCAATTAATAATGTCAAATGTCAAAAGTGATGCATAACCTCAATTAAATACTATTTATTGCTTAAAAACTATCAAATTAGCAAGTAAATGATTTAAATTGAGTGATAATGTGACACGTTTCACATTTCTGAAGATGACACCTATTAAAATTACATTTTTTAAATCGAATCACTGTTTAATTAATGAAGTACACGTGTAAGATGTGTTGAAGCAGTGTTTTATGATAATCATGTTGTTAACAACAAATATACGCGCTTTGTAGTAATAATTATAACGAAATTAACATAGTAGAAAACAAGGAAAAACATGTTGACAAAATGGCCACCAGCCAGACAATTTTTTTATGCTAAATGTTCGCAATTAATACATTTTCAGCGTCAATATTTAAATTTAGCATTTGATTGTTACTTTTAATGTCGCGGTGATTTAAGTCATTTTGATCGTGTGCATAATGTTAAAAAGTTAAGCAATCATCAAATTTATGATTCTCAACTCGTGCGCATGTCGCGCACGTGTCATCCGATTATAAACCGTTGCGTTCACAATTCACGATTTTATTATATTTTAATACTAATTAAATTAAAACAAATTCATCATCAATAAAGCACAGTTATTAATCTTTTGATAAAAATGATTGTATACTGTTTCTAATTGAGATCGAGTTTGAAACATTATTCTGTAAATGTTAAAATGGTCGTCGACCGGAACTGAAGTGTGACGTGTGGCGCGACATGCGGGCAAGTGACGCACTGTGACGAGAATCCTAAGAAGGTTGCAAAACGCGCCGCGAATTAATGTTTTTAACGATGCAGCGTTCAAAATGTGATATAAAATACTAATTATTGACTTAATGTGATTGAATTCGCGCGCACGTTTCAGAATTCGCATGTGTCTGATGTTGACCAACTAACATACAATGTGTTAATAGAATATTAACGACGCACAGTAATCTCACTTAGCACAATTTTTATTTAAACAAAAAAAAATTAAACTAACGACCTAATGTCATTTTATTAATAATTATATACTCTGACTAGTAAAATTGGACAAACTGACAAAAAACGTGTACTATTATTATTACATCAAGTGTACAATTATTTGTTTATACAGTAGAAGTAATTTGGCGGAAAATATGTGAAGTTTTTTATTGTAATAAATGATAGTCACACTGTAATATTTGTTATGTTAGCACGTGTAGATGTAAAATAAAAATCAATGTATGAGTTGAAGTATGAATGTCGCGGGTAAGTGCAACGTGGCAACCAAGTATACATCTTTTATAAGAGTAACGTTGACGTGGCAACTAAATAAAAGATTTTTATTAAAAAAAAAAAACAATTTGTGTTTTTAATGTTAAATTTTCTGAAACAATGTCAATATTTAACGGTTAAACCCTATTAAATCGATATTTAGTAATAATGTTGATCCTGCATGTAATTATATAACTTGCGATAAAGCCTATACGAGTCCCCGATTTTATAAATTGTGATTTACGCAGCTGTAATACAGAGATAAAAAGTTCGAGAAGCACTGGACTAGTGCAATGACTAGTGCAAATTGGCCTGGCACAGCTTATCGCTCAATTGCCGGCTTTAATTAAACAACAAACTTTATTATTCACTGTTCATGAATGCTCGTACAAAGTGCATGACACGGATCAAATCAAATCTAACAGCAAAGATATTAAAATCAAATTAAAATAATTTTACAGTTTTACAGTTTTCTATCAAATCAATCAAACAGATGTCGCTGCCTGAGGCTGAGTTTAAAATTTGCGAATCATAACTACAGGCGTAATATGATTATAATTAGTTTGGTTAGTGGGAGCAAAAGTGCACAACGTTTAGCCCCTATTAATAGGCCTCCGGTCGTAAGACCCAAGGAGCAAATACCAATTGTTTCAGCCAATCAAAAGGTCACTCGCAAATCCAATCCAAGTCAATTTATAATGCATCCACTCACGTTCAGGATTTATTCAAAGTTCAGCGCTTAATTACTTAAACACCGGTTTACCTACGACGCATTAATAAATTAATAAATTAATTGGTCCATTTGATGTAATAAATAAATATTTGTTAACTTAATGATGAACAATGAACTTGAAATTTGGAAATCGCAAGGTTGATGTCTTATTTGATTCAATCATTAGTAGCAAATTATTTTTTGTTATATATTTAAATCTTTAAAATATGTTAATTTGTTGGATAAACCGAAGCTGTTGAAGGTGTTGACGAGTCGATATTTCCAATAAACAACATCGGATAACATTAAATCAACTAGTTTTCAATGTTGTGACAATTCTGGCATGGCATAAACAAACCCTGAGGTTTGCTTTGCTCTATATTATTTTAATTCCAAGATTTGTCCGTCAAATATTTAGTTCAAAGTAAATTTCTGTGTTTATCAGATTGATCAAGGGTGAAATTTCAATAAAATCATTTTCTAAATGTTTTAGTAGAAGGAGCAACGGCAAAAAAGCAAAAAAGCAAAGTGACGAGTACATTTGTTAATAAAATCTTTGACAATATTCTAGAAATTTCTTAATTAAATATTAAAGACGTAATCAGATATTTGTCAACAAATCTTAATTGATTATAAAGTTGTTATCGAACAATTTTCAGCAAATTACAATTTCTACTAATTGATATAAGTAGAACTAATTAAAGTCGGGATCGATTTCATCAACACGTTTTTCTGTGCGTACAAAGTAATTATTCGTAATTTGTTATTTTTCGCTTTGTTGATGTGTCAATGTTATGCAAGCAGTACTTTTTCCAGAATTTCTTTCACATTTTATGTTTTCTTTATACTTCTGATGAATTTCTATCCGTATGAAGTTTTAATCGATTTTAAATGACATAATTATATGATTTACCGTAAAAAGTAGTTTTTGATGAAGCTTAGATATTTAAAAAATGTTTTAAACTTGTATTTGAACTTGAACTTGCAATTTTTAAAAGCACATTATTAAATTAATAATTACATAATCAAGGGGGACTCCCGTTTAGTTTTTGAATGTTTATTTATGTATTATGTATTATTTATGTACTGTTTACCTTGTTAGGTAATTGTTTTTATAAGTTTTACTAGCTTTTGCCCGCGACTTCGTCCCGGTAGTGTTTAATAAAAATGTAATTCGTTTTTACTTATAGATTATTTCAGTTTAGTTACTATGTAACTTTAGTCAAACTTTCAATCACCTAAAAAGTCTTAATGAGATAGCATAATATTAAATGGATTCTTACGATTGAGCTTTAATGTAGAACACAATATTTATTAAAACCCACTTTTTTCTTCTTCTTAATTTATGAAGGTCAATATTTAAGTTTTGCATGCGTCACATATATCTTTCAAATGTAATTAAACGTTTAAAAAACTATATTTCCAAAAAAAAAATGGATGAAAACATGATTACAGTTTTATTGCGCGTTTTGCAAAGAGATTAAAGGAAGTGACTTTTATTACCGTGATTTTATTATTTTGACCGATACCCGACTAGTTTTGATTTGCAGGTTAACTTGATAGTTTAATTATGTCTATTTTTTGCTAGATATGTTGCTCTATTTTTATTTATCTAGCTGTGGTCTATGTAAACTAAATAATTAACAAATCCGGGTTTAATTAATTACATTTGCATCTTTAAAGAATTAAAATTATACGTTTTATACTTGGAATAAACAAGAAAAACTAGATCTGAATGCAACAACAAAACTATAAAAGATTTTGTGATAATTGCGTTGTAATTTTTAAGGAATCAATTTTTTTTAGAAGTAAATTATAAAAAACAGTATTCTACGCCGATTTTAGAAGTCAATTATTACTTTTTACGACAGCAATAAACAAATTATTTATTTAATCCCAGATATTCATGGATAAACATTATATACGAATACCACGTGTAATACTTAATAGTATACATGATCTACAAGTGCAAAAATTACAAATATGTTGTTTTTGATTCAATTTACTCGCGAGACATGATAATCTATAATAAGCAATGTGATGCACAACATACGTAATAATTGTATAGTAATTAAAACCATAATCATGAGCATAAACATTAAACACTAGTGGAAACGTGCTAATATGTTTTGTTTTTGTTCAAACAATGTTTGGCGACGAGTTTTTAATTTTGTCCACCGCAAAGTCAATTATTAAATAATTAAATCATAACTGGACACAATGAGTAATAATCGGTCAGTGAATATTTTTAGTACTAATAGTAGTTTTGTTTTTAGTAATTAAATATGAGTTCTATAAATAAATGCAAAAATTTTATGTAAAATTTATTTAATTATTCAAAAGAATTTAAAAGAAAAATGAAAAACAATTTTATCATAATACTAAGTACTAAGGAAAATTTACTTATTTATTTTGAAATTATTGCAAAATTATGCACAACAAACAAATTCAACAAGTAATTACTTAATTAGGTGTAGAATATTATTTAGAAATAATTTTTAAGTAATTAATTAATAAATAACCAGTAAATTTTTAATAAAAACTCACCATTTTGATATTTTTATTTCTTCCTTTTGTTTTCACTCCAATTTCACTTTCAGTTCTGTTTAAATTAGTAAAAATGTGTGCGTATATAGTATTTTAAAATCTTGACGTGTTCTTTTGGCAGTGGTCGGTTATCATTAACTCAATCCCTCCATACACTAATACTGCAGTTAGAAGTCATCCCTCAGCAAGGATATATTTACGAGCATGAATCCTTGCAGGTGGTTATACACGTCAGGACACGCACGGGTCCTTCACTTAACTTAATAACCGATAATCTTCTATATAAAAATGAAATTAATCAAAAAACACTCAAAAAATTACAGCGCCTTTCAATAAATATCTTAAACATAAAATATTTATATTTTCGAGTAAAGACACTTATTCGTTGTTTGTTACAAAGATATTAAATCTTGGAAGACATTCGATGTCTTGAAATTTAGTGAAGTGATGCGTTCACGCGTAAAATCCGCTCGCGTTTGTCGCTCGCGTGCGACAACAACCGGCGGACGACAACTAGTGGACTTGAATTGCGCTCCGCCGGGTTGTTTTATCGTGTTTTAAGTCACTACTCACTCTAGTGAGCTGGTACGAGCATACAAATGTATGCATGGAACTTGGAACAAGGAAGATGATCGCGTTTGACGCGACCGATGGCGAAATGCAAAGCAGGCGGTGTATTAATGTGCATAATAACGAGCATCTCTACATAGTGACGCAACTCAATCTTATTTAAAGAACCAATGATAATTATTAATAGATATCACATACACTTCTCCATTATATTGTCATCTATTGTTCTCTTGTGGTATTGCAACGACTTAAGTAAATTTTAAGACAAAAACATGAAAATTTTACTTAATTCAGTGCATGTGCCGCCATCTAGCGGGGTAAATAAACAGTTTTATAATCTCCATGCATTGGTGTAGTGAACACAACAAAACAAGTGATAACAAAGTAAAAATTCATTGAAAACAAATTATATACGCCGCAAAACTCAAAACATCTAACTTTAGTAATGAATATGTCTTTCTATCGATAGCTTATCACTGCCACTATATATTTAGTTGAATATCTTACGCGTGTTATGTATAAACTGCATTACTTTTGCGTTATATAATTTAGATCTGCTCGTGTATGCTTGATGCCAAAATTAAATTAACTTCGTCATTTAATTTATAACCTTGGTGAGTTAATGAATTTGTTACACACGCGAGTTTAACATTGAATTTTAAGTTATTAATTTATGCGCGTTGATATGCATTCAAAGTTGACCGATAACGGTCTGCAACAGTCACGTGTTGGTCTATAAGTCAATACAGTCTGAAAACATTTTCACAATAACAACATTTACTTTACAAAATTAACGAAAATAATTAAACATTCAAAACACAGAGCCTTGGGATAAATTTTTCACAATACTTGCTTAAGATTACTTAAACCTTCATTTTTCTGTACTTAAGTTAAGTATATTCACGTGGGATTTTTTACGTTTTTGAAAAATCAGTATAAACATGTTAATTGACAAACAAATTCAATGATTAATCATTGTTGAGTTGTAAAACGTATCATGTGCGTATCATGTTATTAATAACAATACGTTTCACGTCCGGTTTAGTTGTTTTGTTGCATATTTCTATTAATATAAATGCGTAAACAGTGTATGTGTAGCCATCTAGCGTCAAAAATAAAAACTAAAAACTGAAATAAACAAAATTTTTATTTTTATGTGACTTTTTATGTGACTAATGTGTTGCTTCATCAAAGAATGAGTAATCAAAATTTTAAGATAATAAATTAAAGACTTTTTCCACCAATAAACTAAGATTTCTTTGGTGTAATATCTGCGTCATTTATGCAAATCACGTTTATTAAACATGAATCTACATTGTAACACTTTTCACGCAGTTCACAGACACATAAACATAAAAATTACAACGGTGATTTAACAACCCGGTCGATTTAAGTTCAATTTAGTTTAATTAGTATGCGGCTACCTATTTGAAAATGATAATTAAATATTTATAAGTACATTAAGTACTTATACATTCGCCGTCTATAAATTACTAAAATTAAAACGATTGTAAAACGAAAACTGATCAAAACCAACGACGTCAAACCTACTTTTTGTCTATTTTAATACTAATGATGTAAACAATTTTTTGTTCGGGTAGAATTTACTGTTCCTGATTCATTATCTACTGGTGATTTTATTTCGGTGAAAAACTTGTACATCCATCGATTTTTTTATCAAATTTTGAAAAGTTAAAGTTTCTAGGCGAATTTTTAAAAATTGATAACGTGTTTTCCGCTTTGAATAAATAAACACGTACATACTGCGCATAATTATCAGTCAATTGAATTTTTGTCTATTGATAATGACGCGTTAGGAATTACGTTCGTAGTTAGTTAAAATTTAAAATGCAAAATTTTATTTTATTGGTTTGTATATAAATTGAGCATTTTTAAATATATTTTACCACAGAAAACTTACTTTTACACTCCAATTATGTTTAATCAACGAAAAAAATTTTTTTATAAACATATAGAGCTTCCTTATTGAGTTATATCATGTCAAAGTTAAATGAGACTTTATAGCTTCATAAAACATGTTTTGCGCATAATTCTTAATTGCACTTGATTTAATAAGAACATTGGTATGTAAAAATTTGCCTTCCTAATGTTTATTGTGGTTTTTTCGAATGCGTTGGGGCATCATAAAATTTAATTCGTTTATGTATATATTTATTTGTCAATTTATTGTTTTTTTCTTTTTCATCGGCGTCTGGTCTTTGAATTTTTGTGCTAGATAATTACCTAAGCAATTTCAAGGTGTGATGTGTAGGTATCATGCAGAAGTAATGTTAATAACATGGCGCAAATGTTGGTTTGATTATTTCCTTGAATAACAAAGATAATGTGAGTTTAATAATACGAGTAAGTGATTGGAAATGTTTATTTCGCGTCAATATTTTTTTGTGTGTCATTGTCAAGGTTAAATCATTATTGAAAGTGCTCTAATTATATAGGTTAAGATGGATGTTACAATGTTAGGTTAGTTTGGTTGCTCTAATTATAGGTTAGAAAATGTAGTTTGGAAATAATTATGAAATTAAACGGTGATTAGAAATTTCTAAGTTCAATTTTTGAATAGTTATTAAATATTGGAATTTTATAGTTTCATTCATACAAAATTTGTTGAATTATTTATTAATGAAAGCCGGTTTATGTGACTTAAGATTTAGTCTACTCTAAACATGGAATACTCGTATATTGCGTTAATGGCGTTTAAATTGTAAGTCGTGTCAGGTTCAAGTCGTCTTAAACACAAGTTCAAGATCAGATTGCGGTGAAGAAAGTTGAATTTGCTTGCGTCATCAAAAAGAAGAAGAAGAGCAGAAAAAGAAGCATCAGTAGAATTTAATCGATACGAGTGTGCTTAAGTACAACTACTTACGGCAAGTTATAATGATACTTAAGACCGTTGAAACGGGTTTACCACATTCTTTTCAAGGTTTGAGCATGAAAGATGTTAAACAAGTTGAATTATGGAATACTGATTACTATAATAACGAGAGAAACAATTTTCTTCCTTAAAACTTAAATTTTAACTGTTTTTGGTTGTTTTTATTAATAAATTATCCAAAACTAAAAAATATAGGAATTTATATCTTAATATAAGTTAATTTGCTTAATTTTGATCATAAATAGAAGTTTTTATTGCCTGCAAACATTTTTTATCGCGGTTTTATGTCTCAATGCATAAACTACACGAATAAAAGCAAGAAATCAAAATATCACCATAAAATTAGCAGATTTGTGAAAATAAAAGCGATAAACATTAAGATTATTGAACTTGCTGACGTCACGCACAGGTAAAATTTGCATCTTTTGTGAAGTGCACGCGATAAAACGCCTCCTCAAATTGGGTGTGTGACATTGCAATTTATACTTCGACGTTTTAATTTTAATGCTTGACTCGATTATTTTTAGTTCTTGTGGTTGAGGTATTGTTAGTCGATCATTATTTAAAAGTCTAGACAGAGTCTTAACCGTCTTTTTCTCGTTTTGAGATGGCGACAACTGTGACAACCGGCTGGAAATATTTTTATTTTCACACTTGACGAGGTGATTGTGTGCAAATACAATAACACAGCGTGAAGCAATGCATTATTTATTCGTTGCATTATTATGTCTCAGAGAAAAATGACAAATAATGATAAAATATTGAAAGAAACCAAAAATACGAAACTAGGATTTGTGCAGATCAACAACTAAAACTTAAATTTATATGTTAGGTTATACTCCAGACATTTTAATAGATATATAAGTTTATTAAACACTAGTTTTTGCCCGCGATTTCGCAGTGTTTATTAAAAATGCAATTCGTTTTTACTCTCTTGTTTTAGGCATAATATGTGTCAATTCTATCAATAAGATTAGCAATTTTATTTTAAAGAAATTAATTATATAAAGAATTGCAAATAATGCACTTCAGCGCGCCATCTCGGATTCAACTATTTAACTATAACTATGATTAAATCTCAATGCCAATTTTTATCCGGTAGAAAAAAGCAGCATTTAGGGTTTTCCCCGCAATTATTCGAATTTTTCTCGCCGAAAAAACCATCCTTGGACTTTAACAAACATTTTAAAAAAAGAATTGGCCAAATAGGCCTTGGTGTTGTTGAGTTATGCGCTTACCAACACATTTTGCGATTCATTTTTATATTAAATATTTGTATAATATCACGTGTCATTGACACGCTCGATGCACAAACATGTTTAATACAAATAATATTCATAAATGCATATTTTATTTGCTGTGATTTGAATGTATAAAACTTCAACCTTTGTAAAATAAACGTTTGCCGACATTATTTTGATTTCGACTGAATTTAATTCACATATCAGTTAATTATAGCGTATTTATTAACGTAATTCGTGTTTATATCAAAACTTTATTAAATATTTTGAAATATTACAAAATGTAACAGTAAATCTTTTTCATGATGCCTGATTCACAATTATATTAAACGACAATAACACGTTTGTTATATTTTGACTATTTTACTATGAATAAATTTTACTTTTCATAACTTCTAATGTGTTACACAAAACAAATGCCATAGAAATATAATATCACATCAAATGCAATTTTCTTTTAAATATTATTACATTAATATTACATTCTTTGATTAGTTTTTCTTTTCTTTTATTTTTCTACAAAAAAAACACTTAGGAACCAATGGCAATTATTACTATTCAAGACATTTCTACTAAATTGAATTTAACCTCACTTTTACACTAAGTGATATACAAATTAGTACTGTATAACAATTTAAAATGTGATTTATGTAGTTTTTGGTTTAGATGACTTTTAATCGAGTTTAATACTAACTTGTAATAATAACATTAAACTATTAGTTGGTTGATTTACGTAGTGTAGGTCATTTTTAACTACAACATTGACTAGTTTTCTCATGTACATAACAAAATAAAAATTCGCTAGCAAACTTAATATTTTACAGTTATGTAGTTTAACGAA